AGGGGATTCAACCCGGAATGGCTCTCCGAGACGTTCGGGTACCTGACGCTGGGAAACGGGTTCGTCGCGGTGATGGCCGGCCTGGTCGCTAATTTCTTCGCGGAGCGATACGGATATATCGGTAGGTCCTCCCGTCTGCTTGCGACGCCTCTAGACGTAGCGCTCTTGCGCGTGTCTTTTTCTTTTGTTTTTGGCAGAATGTCTCGAGGGGCGGGCACTGACTAGTACGTTTAATGGCGTCGGTCAACGCGTGCATCGTGTATGCCGTGATGACCTGATTCCCGCCCTTCCTCGCGCCTTCCCTTCTCCCTCCCTGCTCTCAGGCCCGTTCGTTTTCTGCCTGTTCCCTCTCACCCTGGTCGGCATCCTCGCCACGTTATGGTGGCCTGAGAACTACGGCGACGCCAACGTGCGGCCCGCGATGGCCCTCCCAAAGGCCTGGAGCTACATTCAGAACAACTCCGCCATCATATACTTGGGCCTGGGGCAGTCCTGCTTTGAGGGTGCCATGTATGCCTTCGTCTTCGTGTGGACCCCGGCACTGCAGGCGGGGGGGGAGGACGTGGGCCCCTACCTGGGCATCATTTTCAGCACCTTCATGGTCTGCACGATGACGGGCTCGAACATCTTCTCCATCCTCATCAAGAAGAACCTCCTGACCGTGGTTCCCGTGATGGTGCACCTGATCGCCACCCTGGCCAACCTGACTGCCTTCTACTTCGTCAAACAGACGTCCTCCGTCTATGTGGCCTTCCTCCTCTTTGAGCTGACCGTAGGCATGTTCTACCCATCCTACGGAAGCATCAAGTCCATGAACATCCCTGAGGAAGTGCGCTCAGGTAGGTTTCGCGCCAAAATGTCTCTTTCTTTCGGTGAAAGGCGGCAGTAGGCCTTCGCATGCTCGGTCCACAGGTGCAGGCGAGAATGTGTGTGCATTCCTTTATGCTCCGCTTCTCTCTGTCCCACCGTGACCGAGCAATCAACAAGAGCACTGACACTCAACGCTCGCTCTCACTCCCTCCTCCACCCTCCATCTCCTTCGCCCCTTTAGGCGTGATGAACATCTTCCGCATCCCCCTGAACGCGATCATGGTCATCCTCTTGGGCCTGATCGAGGTCAAGCAGATCAGCATGGGCACCACCCTGGCCCTCTGCACCCTTATCCATGGCGTCGGCCTCATCATGTATTGGAATTTCGAGCGGTTGAGGAAGCGGACGCCCGACGTGCACTACGTGAGCGTGAAGGGTCAGGAGGTCTTGGACGATGCCATGTGACGCCAAGAGGAAGGGGGTCTCGTGGGGGTGGGAAGAAGCAGTGGGCGGAAGGGCCGGACTGGGCTAGTAGGACAGAGACGCTAGCAGGCAGGAGCGGGGGGCTTGGACGTGACGTAGGAACGGGGGAGGGAAAGGGGCCACGAGGGTAGACTGTGAGCACGAGAACTTGAGTTTTTGTTTAGAGCGAGTGTGAAAAAGAAAATACTTCGGAGTCAAAAAAAGTTTTATGACGCACGACGCTGAGAGAAGCGCCGGGATCGAAACGTACTACGGTTTTCGATGGATTTTGAAGGTTTTTACCCAGAAAGCAACCGGGAGAAACATGATGGTACGCAGGAAGGACCGCCCACCGTGGGGCTACGGTGGAAGCATGATGTCGAATGGGAGACACACACACATACACACACACATATATATGTATCTCTCTATATATATATATAGAGAGAGGGATAGATCGCTGTCCTCGACAACGACGGTGTGCCTCAGAAAATGAAAGCAATCGCAGAGGAAGCTACAACAACCAATCAGACTCCAAAAAAATATATCCTAATTTAATCCCACGAAAGATGCCTCCTCGCTGCCACCTTTTGATGTCATATAAAAAAGGAAAGACTTTCTCTTCTTCCCCCCGCTCCCTCCATACCGACGTTCTCACCCTTCCCCGCTATTCCTCCCTCCGTCTTCCTACAATCCCACGCGATCGCTGTACCCCAACACCTCCAAGAAGGCCTTCGCTGCTTCCGGGGCCTGCCGCCGACTGATCATTTTCGTGCAGACGTTGGCCAGCTGCAATCCGTCTTCGTCCGCTATGCGCGCCGTCGGGTCGATGTCGCATCCGAGCCGGTCCCGGTATTCCGCCACGTCCCCCTCCAAGAATTCCAAAGTGCCCTGGATCTCTTTGAACGCCTTCTGCGGCTGCCCTTCCATATCCGCGAACAAAGCTCGTGCCGCCAAATTCCCCACATGGACCTGGACGGCGGCCGTTGTGGCTCTGCGCATACTGCCCTTGGACAAACGCATCCGCCGGCCCTCCTCCTCAATCGCCTCCACCACCTCCTCCGCCGTCATCCTCCCGGGGCCCAAGAAAACCTCCAACACCTTGGTCTGCAGCTCGAACGTGCCCTGTTCCTCCGCCAATGCCTCAAATTCTTCCCCTTCCAACTCCAGGGTTTCACATCCCCACCGGACCGCTTGCTCCCGCCGAGCTTCCCCGCCCTCCTTTCCCCCCTTCCTCCCTCCCTCCTCCACCATCTCCGCCATCACCCTTACCGCCTTGGTCCTGGCCGTGTCCCCTTCGTACCTGTCGTACTTGAGCCTCCTGTACACCCTGCCCCAGCTTTTCTCGAACGCCAGCTCTCCCCCGGGCCACTCCCCGCCCCGCTCCCCCCACACCTCCGCCATCAGCTCTCCCAGGACCGTGGGAACCGCCTCCTTGGCCACGTACAGGAGCTGCATCTCCGACAAAGACAGCACCTGTCGGGCCAGACCCCAGGCCCCGATGTCCCCCGCCCGGACCTTCCCCTCCCCGTCCTCCCACGGCACGGGGAGGGAGCGGTGGAGAAGGACCTCCGCCACCCACTGGCGGAGGTAGCCCGACAGGAGGGAGGAACGGACCGACGAGCTCATCTCAACCCCAATGCCGTTGATTTTCTCCGACAAAATGGCCTGCACCCCGGCCTCGAAGCCCTCCGAGTCTTCGTTGGCCGATAAACCCCGAAGTACGGCCAAACTCTCCGCCGCGCCCCGGCCCAGCTCCATCACCATCCGCAAACGGGCCACGCCTTCCTTCAGATTTCCCTCCCCCCCCC